AATGCAGGAACAGAAAGGTTAATACAATGCAGATGTCTTGTGGATTAGGAACCGCTCCCCCTCCTCCATTATAAAACTACTTGACCTGTGAGAGAAAAGGTTAATAAACCCAAGCAGACTGTGGATTAGAAAGACAGGCGGGAGCTGGCTGGCCTTCGTCCTTTATTGCAGTAGTATAAAACCAAATTTAAAAGCAGCTTTAAGTTTCTTAACAATTCAATATGCATGATACCTGCTGGAGGAATTCTCCCCCCCCCCCAGCCATTTCCCAGTCCTGAGCAGCAGAATTCTGTAGCGAAACTACCCGCCAATTCAGTCTCTTCCAGTTGTTGCAGCCCTCTGCTGGTCGAACTCAAAATGAAATTTGGGTTGCTTTTGTTTATAAACGTGACCTAAGATTGTAGGTGGTAGGAACCCCTAGTAATGAAATGTCTGGCTGGTAGCTTGAAAAATAAAGAATTGCAATAACTCTCATAGAAGTTTGCATAATTGTGTAGTACTCTGAAAATTCAACATTAGACTGTAAATTAAGCATTGACTTGCTAGATCTACCTAAAGGTCCATCTGCTCCTTCACATTCAGTACTTAGCAGATTCCCTTTGAAATTTCTAGTGGGGCATGATTATACTGGCTGGCTGTGCCTTTTTGTTTACCCCCAGCATCTGATTATCTAAATGCATAGGTTTCATTTATAGCTGGCATGCATAGTAATATTTGTTGATCAAATGCTCATTTTCTTCTCAACATAAAGGTTTAGTTTCCTCTATGTTCATGGGCAAAATGCTCCATTCCTCTGACCGTTAAGTGCATTTTGTATCTTCTCTGATGTTCATAATTATTTTTTTTTAGATGGGGTGATGAGAACTGAAGCTCTCAGGTTCAATCCCCAGCATCTCCCCTGGGGAAAAAAAAGCATCATGTAGCAAGTGATGTGAAAGACCTCTGCCTGAGACCCTGAGCAGCCTCTGTCAGTCTGAGCAGGCAATACTGATCCTGATGGACCAAAGGCCTGATTCAGAATAAAGCAGCTTCATGTGTTCAGCTGTACACAAGGACAGTATCCTACCCTGGCATGTAATGAATGTGTAGCTCTCATGCACTCCTCTCCATTGCGACTGCTCTTGTCTGACCCTTTGAGGGATCAGTCCATGTAGAGGAACAGCCATGAAGGTCACCAAGCTGGAGTGAAGAAGAAAGACAAGACAATCACCCCTCCTTTCTGTTTTGCATACATAGCTTTGGTGAGGGGAAACAGCCATTTGATCCCCTTGTCCCTCTTCACTCTAGCCCACTCTAGCTTCATCTCTGTGTGAGTCCTGTGATGCTGGGAGTGATCTTTCTGGGGCCAGAGGGAACTGAAACAATAGAGGGGAAAGTGTGAA